GAGAAGATATGTACAAAATTCGACTTGCACAGTTAGGGGAGTGGATGCTATGAGCAAACCGGTTTGCGAGGCGCACACGGAAGATGACCCCTGTGAATCAGTGTCTTGCACTGCGCCCAGGAGTAGGGAACTGTCTAAAACGCACTGCAACATGGAACTCAGAGGTCCTGAAATGTGCCTTGAGCTTGTTGCTGTTACCTCGTGTAACAGGCGCTGCACCCGGCTTGCATATACGTGCATGAAATTGAATTTATACAGTGAAGTCTGAAGGCAGGCTCTGGCAAGGGGGATAATTGTGAATTCAGTAAGGGAGAGTACAAACAGTAAGGTTACTGAAAAGGACAAATGAACTGAAAAAAATTCAGACCATGACACGAGGAAGCCATTACATTCATCTTTTCATGGTCTTGAACATCTTGTACGAACTCAGCTATAATACGCAGCGGAAACCTCTAATTAGACACAGAAAACGCAAGTATTTAGCTGTGCCAGGCAAGCATTGAAAACATAAGCTTTATGGACACATGATTAAGATCCATAGCATAAGAGAGAATTATATTTTTTTTAAGTTCTCTTTTTATTTTTAAATATATTTTTTATTGATTTCAGAGAGGAAGGGAGGAGGAGAGAAAGATAGAAACATCAATGCTAAAGAATCATTGATCGGCTGCCTCCTGCATGCCCCCCACTGGAGATCAAACCTGCAACCTGGGTATGTGCCCTGACAGGGAATTGAATGGTGACCTCCTGGTTCATAGGTTGATGCTCAACCACTGAACCATGCCAGTTGGGCGAGAGAAGTATATCTTTAAATTTTTTTGTATTTCAGTCATTTCCTTAGCATACATGTGACTCACTGGTAGGTATGAAAGTATGAAACAATTAGGATTAATCATTATGTGCAGAAAAACCTCTGCTCTAAATTTTAAATAATTGTTATGATCAAATTTTTTTTTACAGATTGTAGTGTTTATATGATGTGAGTTCAGCAAGGAACTAGAGACCTAGCCTAACTGCCTAACGAACTATGTCAAATGTTGAATGAAAGGAGGAATGAGGGAAAGAACGAATCTGTAGCTATTCTTTGATGGATTAGAGCTGTGAATGAAAGTGTCATGCAAGAGTAATGCCAGCCCTGCCACTGACTCATGTGTGACCAGTGCAATGGGAATAATGCTGACAGCATACCTACTTCACCAGAGGGGTGGGGAGGATCTTTCCTTACTCACCAGGTGCTTGGAGATCTTTGGAAGGAGATGATCTATTCATTCACTATCAGTAATCCATCACTGTTATGGCAACTGTATATAAAACAGCGAAAGTGTAAAATAATGTTTAAATACAACTGTGCCACCACATTTTTTCATGTGTAGACTATCAGGTACTGAAATACAGTGTGGGAGGCTGTATCCTTTCATAAAATATTTGGCTTATAGACATTTCAGTGGTCGGTGGACAAGTAGTTCATGATGTGCAATGGAAGTTTGTAAAAATAATCCTTATTCGAGTAGTGTTTGTGATGATGGTATTTTATAAGAGGATTGAAATCTCTGGCCCATGAAGTACCAAAGAGAAAACTAATTTATGATAGATTCCTAATTTGATTTGTGGTGAGAGACCTTCTTGCTGTAATTTCCTGTTGCTCGATGACTGAAAGTCTAGGATTAGAGATTTACTCAGTCAACATTTTAAGGGGCCTATTGTGTGTCAGGCATTGTTCTGTGTTTGGGATAGAGCAGTAAATAGACAAAACTGGCTTACTGTTTCAATGTTTTTGGCCTCTAGTTAAATACAGATCATCTTAGGAATAGCAATACCTTACATACATCTTTGGTTCCTGGTCTTTCCAAGAGACCCCTTGAGAGGGAAAGAAAAAGTCACCACAGAGCGATACGTGGTATTAACTTGAATCAAAAGGCAGTTACCATCCTTAATCAGTCCTCTTCTATTTAAAAAATCAATAGAAAACCATGCAATACTGTCTGTTTTCATCATTCTCCATATTAAAGTTGCCCTCATCTTTCTTAATGCCTTCTGCAATCATTTTAAAGCTATAAATGCCCCCATTTGTTTGTTTTAACCAGGGTTCCATACACTTGCACAGTTTGTTGACTGTATGTATGATAGCACCTGGCAGAGGAGTTGGGTAGGCATTGAACTCTAGCCTCTAGCTTCAACTGCTAAGTCATGTGTTTTACATAGGGCTGAGGAAGGGGTGTCTTTTTCTAATTTGAAGAAAATACTACAAGGTTTCAGTGGCTCTCTTTGTTCTTTCAAGTTCTCAGGCAACTAGCTCCCACTGCCCCTTGAGATGTATTTTCCTGTTGTATTTAATAGCATTGCTGTGTTATGAGTAGTAAGACAGGGAACATTGGGGGATGGGGAATAAGTGAACCAACCCCTATCCGCTTCCAAGATGTCCAATGACTATCTAGATAAATGAAAACTAGCCAATGCATGATGCCATGTGAAATGTTCTGCAGCAAAAAGCAGCACTGATAGAGCAACAACTTGCCTTTTCAGTTTTAGCAAACTTGGAAGAACTGTCACCTCACAACAGGTTGCCTCCATATTGCATTGCATGGCCACTAGAGAACATGGTAAGTCAGACAGTATGACTCAACCCTTTGGCCAGGCTCATTTGTAGGATTTGGTATCAGATGATTTGATATAGGATATATGTCCTGCTGAAAAAAAACCTGTTGCTAACTTCCCCATGGTCTGTTGACATTATGTCATGTTACAAACAATGAGTGATAAGGACTGCAATGTCAGGATGTAGTGACCTGATTAGTCCAAACTCCTGCAGGGGAAATGTGCAAGTAGATGAGCCCCAACAGGACCTGAAGAACCATGTGGTTTTGAAATCCTGGGTGCATGAGCCACACCCTCTATACACCTTAAAACTCTTGGTGCTTTGAAGGTATGATTATTGCTCAACAATTCCTAAGACAGAGTTAATTAGATCTTTGTATGATTTGATTATAATAAAATGAGAGTTTAAATGCAATGCTGAAATGTGCCCATGTGTGCATAATATACGGATATTTTAAAACTTGGAATTGATATCATATAAGAGCATAAAAATGACCCGACTGCATTAACACCTTTTAAATATAGTTTCTTTCTAACAATAGTTAAGCAGTTTGTTTTGTAGCTTAATATATACGTCTAAAGCAAATGAAACAAGTGAAGGGATATGAGTACTTTGCACTATACAACTGATCCTTTCACTTAACAAGTAAAAGATTCCTGTGGTATTTCTTAATTATTTATTATTACTTACAAAAGCCTTTAGAGAGTATTGCTTTGAATTTTATGCAGCTTCAAGGTGGGGAAACAAAGAGATTAAGTAAAATATTCCATAAACCCTATACCTACCAAAGATAAGAATTAAAGCAATTGTGGAACCTTAGACATAGAAGACACTTGGTAAATGTAGTTTATTACTGTAAACTGATGAATACAATTTCCTACCTCAAGACGATAAATGCAGCATACAATAGGTGGTTTCCTGTTTGAGGACAGAAACTGCTGCTTGTTGTTATTTGCATTGCTAGTACCACCCAATTCATAATGATGGTTGAATGAATCAATTAATGAATGAGTATGAGAGAAAACCCTTAAGAACTAACCTCCAGGTGCTCCCCTCTAATCCACAGGCCCTCCCAGTTTCTCTCTTGCTAAATGCCTTCCTAGATTATTGATGTCTTGCATGAGCAATCAGGAAAAAGGAAGCAATCCAGATGGGAGGCTAGCTGTGGTCAGATGCCTCTGAAATGAAAAAAGTATTTGCAGATGTTTCAACAAGTGGAAGGGACGGGCTGAGTCCAT